GTGTAAAAGACATGTGTCAGTGACTTTTTCCGTGGAAAACCAGTAGATCCCCAAATCATTCAAGTGTTTCTACATTGCTTTGCTTCTTGGCTTTAAATCTTCCACTCCCCTTTTCAAGGCAAGATAACTGGACACAACCAGTCTGCACGGGTGACTTCCTGGAAGTATATGTGTTATTAATTTTCCTTCATAAATTTTTTTAGTCATTATATCTAGTAGCTATTGGTTCATTCTTTACAGAGAAAAAAATTTGAAGGAAAAATGGACTGTTAACACAGACTAAAGGCAGACCATGCAAACATCAAATATTTGTCTCAAGCAAGAATCTTCTCACTGTAAGCTTTAAAAAGAACAAAACAAAACTGCTCAGCATAAGCTAGGTATTACCATTGGAAAGGGTGGAAGTGTATGGCCAAGTTCTGAAAGAAGTAGTTTCTAATATATATAGAAGAGGGGGAAGCCAAATATATGAGATTGCAGAAATAGCCGTGCATGTCTTGACAAGGAGCTGTGTCTGTGTGGGATCCTCTGGGCTGCCTCTGTGTACACTTGTGAGAAGCCATGGCTTGGCTGAGCTCCTGCAAGCTGGGCTTTGGCAAAGAGGTGCCATGGCTGCGGGTGGAGGGTGACTTGGAAGAAGCCGAGCACTCACTCTTGTTTTGTTGCCCAGAGGGGGGTGTGTCGCAGACAAGGGGCAAGCAGAGGAGGCTTCTTGGCAGAGGAGGCTTCCTGCCACCTCTTCTGGCAGACAAGCTGTGGAAAGGGGTCAGAAGAGATCCAAGTGATCCTACCTTGAGAAAGCAGAGGCTTGTGCGTCCCTGCTGTGAAGGGAGGAGAGGTCAGGATGTGCGCAGAGCTGCAGACTGTCAGGGAGGCACCTGCTGTTGTCAGATGTTTCCTGGAGAGGCAGCCATGCCTGCTTCGAGCTCTTGGTGTTACAGGTAGCGTCCGCTCCTATTGCAGGCCAGAGCAGCTTGTCTTGGACCTTCAGCATGGGCTTCAGGAAACACTCCTGATCTGGGCCCTTGCCAGCCACAGCCCCTCTGCCCTGGTCCCTCCTTCCTGTGTGACTTATTGGTGCTGAAAAGCTCCATTTCCCAGGTGACTTGCCAGCTAGTCTGACCATGTCCTTAAGGTGTAAATGGTCCAGTTACAAAATATGATAACTGAGCTGGACTGGTCCTTGTGTTCAGCTCAGGCTTGTGAGTGTGTGAGTGTGCAGGAAGCTTATGTGTAGCTCATGGAGTGCCTTGGGGTCAGAGAGGGTGGTGGGAAATACTTAAACACAAACTTCTTTGAGTCCTGTTGCCTGTGGAATGTATCGCCCCATTTTCTTTTAAAAATGTTGGAAGAATTTTGGAGTAGCTTTTTAATTGAAACACAAACACGTGAAGCAAGTGTGTGGGAAGGAGGAGTAAATTGAATTGGGCTGTGACTACTCCCATGTTGGAGAGTAATTTTGTAGCTTTTAGTAGAGAGGAGGGGCTCTATCAGAAATGATTAGGCAAAGCAGATCTCCATTTTTATCTAGTAAAGAACAGACATAAACTAAATTATTTGCTTGTAGTACTCCTGCATTCTTCCAAAAATGTTCCTGAAACAAAGCTTCTCGTAGGCACAAAGCAAAGAAATAGTGCTGCAGCTTGCTTGTTAAGCTGTGCCCCTAAACATAATGAAACATGAATTTTTCAGGTCTTTAGGCACAGGACTGTGTCCTGTTTAAATTCATAGTGTGTAATTGCAAGCAATCGTGCTTCTTGAATTTGAAAAGGAATGGGTGGCAATTATAGAAAACCTTTAATTGGCAAGGTAAAATACTATTGCTGAACGTGCAAGATTGTAGGATTAGAGGATTAGGAGTTGTGTTTTCTTCCTGGTTAAGGGATTATAGTCTGGAAAGGGCAAAAAAATTTCATGTTGCCCACCTCTCTTCTGTCTGTCTTGAAGTACTTTTTTTTTTTTTTTTTCTTTTTTTCCCCGGGGATACTGGAAAGGTTCCTCCAGGGCATCTGTATTTTGTGATGTTCTCTGTATGAAAGCAAAAACCCAATTAACTTTTATCTCACCTGGCTTGCCTAGTCCTGCACTTCTTAAATGATTATTCCTAAAACCTGGCTCTTGATTATCAGTGTGGTTTTCTTGGAGGTTGTTTTTTTTGATACTGGAGTTGAACTTAGATTGAACTCAGTGGAGACCTTAGCTCTTGCTGTTGAGGCTGGAGACCTCTCGTCCCCCACGCCTGGCTGCCTCTGTTGCCCTCTGGTCAGAGCTTTGTGGCACATTTATCTTGTGTGATGTAAGAGCAGCTATTCCCTCGGTTGCCATTCTTGGATGATAATTTACCCTTCCAGCTAAACTAGAAAAACTCCACCCTTTCCAAGAAGTCCAACAAGTTCCAGTTTTCACCCAGCATCCCTGAGCTACACTGGGGGCTTCCAACCTTCTCCACAGCCTGATGCAGGTCCCAGGGTAAAGCCCCTTGGATCTCTGTGTCCTGTGCCCTGTTCAGCCAGGAGAAATACTGAGGTGAACATCACAGCCAGCCATATAGGAATTACTTTTGAAAACAGTTTTCAAAAGAGAGATTTCCTTAGCTGTAGGATTGGAGGGAGTCTGAGATTTCTGGGGAAGTTCATTAGTAAAAATTAAATTGAGTTTGAGGAAGGAAGGAAGGAAGGAAGTGGGGGGGAGTGGAAATGTAGACCACTTCCCTAGCAGCCTTTGAAACAAACAGTCCTTGTGGTGGCAGCTCATAAGGTAAGGGTTAAGGCAGTTTCATTCACTTTTGGGAAATGCATGTGAGCGTTCCCTCCCTCGTTCAAGTGGCCGTACAGCTTGCCTGAGGTGTGGGCTGTGCGTGTGTGACTGACTCTGAGAAGGAAATGACTAAACTTTGTCAAACCACAGTAACAAAGAACATCTTTCATTTACTAAAATAGTCATGGTAGAGAGTCTTGGGAATAGCTGTGGTGCTGCCAGTGCCCATGCCGGGAAGAGGAGATCAGTTGGAGATCAGCACTTGTGGGGAGCGCAACTGTCCCATCCTTAAAGACAGTGTTGAAGGAGGGAGACAGACCTAGCAGCAACCAGGAGGGAGCTTCATTCTGAAAAGCTGCTGGGACCTTCCAGCACTGGAAATGCTTTCTGTGGTGGAGAAGGTGATGAAGAAATTCGGGCAGGACCATTGACTGCCTCTGAAGCGGGTGTCAGGAGGGGCAGACCAGCTGTGGCAGCAGGCAGCCGGCTGGCCAGCCCCACGCAGTGAAGGCACAGTGTCAGGATCCCAGAGGCGCTGGGCTCCACACCTCCTTCTGCTACCGACTGCTGCCTGTGGGTCCTGGCAGCCCAGGCAGTGGGGATCCCAAAGAGCCTGTCAACTTGTGGGCCTTGTCTACCTCAGCTGGAGTTGGGTATTTGGAATAAAGGGGAGAAACTCTGTATAATTATAGGTTTTCCATTTCAGCCCTTGGTATTACTTTAAGCAGACTTTAAATAACACTGTTAACTTTTTTCCCCTAGCTTTGTGGTTTCATCCACAGCATTCTGCAGTACCCTTTACAGAAACCTCAAATATTTTTTTTTTTTCCCCTGCCTACCATGTTTTGTCTCTTTTTCCATCTGACAGATGTTTTTTTTCCTGTGTTGTACAGGGCTCAGTACATAATTATTCTGTTGAAATCGCCTGAAGCCCCAATCCTGTGGCAGAGTCTGCTTGCACAGATTCATATATCCCTGTCATTTGTGTTCAGTGTGATTTGTTGGGTGGTTTTTTTTGTTTTTGTTTTTTCTTCCTTCCCCCCGGTGTTTTTGTTCAATCCAGTCAAAAAACTGCTCTGAGAAGCAATGATCACCCAATCATTTGTGTGCCCTGAGACCATCATCTATTACAGCTTTTTAGTATCTAGACCTGAAATGCATATGTGTGTGTGTGTGTGTGTGTGTGTGTGTGTGTGTTGCTTGTCTCCCAGTCATGCATGGGCTGAATTCTCTCTGTTCTGGTATACACCTTCTGGATATTTGCCGCTGGTCTTTTGTCCCAAGTCAACAACTAGTTACTCTGTGTCTCTGTAGTCCTCTTTTTTTTTTTTTTTTTTAATGAGCCGATTCTTTGCTTTCCGATCATGTTGCTTGCTTGTCCTAAACTTCTGTAACTTTGGCAAGATCTGTTCTTGTTCTTGGCATGATTTTCATTTGGAGAGCAGCATCTCGGCATGCTGGCACAGGTGGAGATAAGATAGACTGGAGTGTTCCTGGTTGTTTCAATCCTCCTACCCTCTGTATTTTACTAAGCACTCATACATGACTTACGGATTCTTAAATCTCTTCTAATGGGAGCTCATGGAATTGCCTAGGTTTAGAAGTTCTTTATTGTTCGCCTGGGTTTTATTCACTAAACTTCCCTTCTGCATTTCAAATTCAAAGTTTACCCAGAGTCTTCTCCCAGAACAATTTTGTCAAACTTCCCACACCAAATAGCTTTTGGAGTATCCATGACTAAAACTTTCTGTCAAGCCACAGTAAACAGAGAACATCTTTGATTTACGAAAACAGTCATAGTAAAGAGACTCAGGAGTAGCTGTTGGGAACAAGCTGTAGGGTTGGTTTGGTGCTGTTATCTCTAGACGCTCAGTGCTGCAGGTTGCTTGGTGGGGATTTTTGGACGTTGTAATAGTGAGAAGGAAGCCTTGCGAGGCATCATTCACCTTCGTTTTGTGTGTGTATGATCAACTGGGGAGGTGAAGGGCAGGCACAGGCTAGCTGTATAATGTAGAAATACTGGGAGATAGTGTTACTGGGTATTATTTGGAATAAACAGGCTTATTTCTCTTTTTTATATCAGTTGTCATACTTCAGTCTCTTGATATTGGCTTTTTAAAAATGCTGTTATGTATGTCATCCACTGTGCTTCCTGTGTCACCATAAACTTTTATAAGATACCACTACTAAGTCACCTCAGACTTCATGGTGATTGATTAAATTCTTTATTTCTCTCTTTTCAGTGTCAGAAGTTTATACAGATCAGTAGTGTTTGCTCAAGAGTGACAGTGGAGATCAGCATTTAAGTCCACTCCTCTGGGTGAGTAATCTAACCCACAACATTGCTGATGTCTATTATCTACATATCTGCTGGTTTTGTTGCTTGATACCTTACATAACAGCTTCTTTAGGCTTTCACTTCAAATGTCATTAAAATTATGCTATACAGAGCTTCCAGCAGGAGTTGAAGAATGTCATGCTGCTTCTGTTTGTGTAGACATCCATTTATTTGGTATATTTTAAAGGATAGCCATCCCTTAACACAGTGTGAGCTGCTGTTAAGATTCAGGGAGGCTTTCCACATTTTAAAGACAGTGGATTTGGAATTATTATACGGACTCTGGCAGAGTATTGAAGTATATTTTGATTATCCAAGAAATAAAACTGAAATGACCATTGGAGCTGTTCTGTGCCATATGATGGGCTCCAGCAGTGCCAGCACTCCAGTACCAGCCCCACTGTGGCCTGCGTGATGCAGCCGTGCGGTTATTCTGACTCAGCACATCTATGGCAATGTGCAGAGAAACTGCTAAGAGCTTTCAGATTACTGGGGCAAGTTTATGTGAAAATCACATTTAGCAAAATAGACTTATCCGTTGTATTATTAGGCCTTGGAAATGGCCCAGTTTAGTTGACTTCATTTTGCATTTGGTCTAGGCTGATTTGATCCAAGTAGCCTAGTGCATGTCAGAGCTTGTAGTCTTGTTTTGGGAATGGTTATTCCTTATCTACTTTGTTTTGGATATTGCAGTATGATCTAGCATGATTTAGGATCCTAAATGCCAGCTGGAGAGCTGCGTGGAATTGCTGCATCTGTGCTTCAGTCACACACCCCGTGGCTGGGATGTGCTCGCCCCATAACACCACAGCTGAGTCCCTGGCTGCTTGCTGGGTCTCTCCTGACTCAGGCTGCTGCACTCCTTCACACTCTGTATAACCGCTTGCCCAGACCAGCGTCTCCTAGCATGCTGCATCCTTTGCCTTGGCTTGCTGCCCTTCAGCTGCTCTCGCCTCTGAATTGCTCATCCTTGCCTTATCCCTGGTTGAGAAGTGTGCTATCTGTTTGTACCGACCTCTCTGAGGTGTGGTGTTGCTCTGCCGGAGAAGCAAGCGTACGCCCCTTCCTGTGATACATCTGCAGAAGGCACATCTGGTCACTTATTTGTTCACCTGTTTAGGGCCCTTGAAAGTGTCTACATCAGCTGTCAGCTTCTGTCCCACAGCTGCACTGGGCTTCTCTGCTGCTGTCTTTGTGCTTCATAATGTGTGTCTCCCCACTCCATTCCGGCTGGGACTTGCCTTTTTGTCTATGCTTTCTGTGGCAGATGGGCTGCATCCCTCTCCTGTGCTCCTGCATGCCCTGACGTTACCTGCATCGCCCTGGGGCTGGCTGTTGTGGTCAGCACCAGCTGCTGTTCCTCACAGAGAGGAGCCTGTGGCCCAAGTGGGTGCTTGCCTTGTGCCCACAGATTTGCTGACAGTCACTGGGCTCTGGAAGGGGCAGCAAGCCCCCCCCCCCCTCTGCTGCTGGGGACCACTGGTGTGCTGCCGCCCAGGGCTCAGGGCTGTCTTGGCTTTGGTTCTTACTGCTCCCTAGTGCTGTCCTGCATCCCTAGACTCCCTGCAGGCCCACAGTATGTGAGGACTGGTGTCTCATTTGAAATGTTATTTCCCTTCTTTTGCTCCCTTTTCCTTGCCATAGTCTTTGGAACACCTCTTTTTGGATCTCTGACCCTTCCCACACTAAACTGTGTGTGAGCTCTCTGGGATTCACAGGCTGCCCGAGGTCTTGCACTGGACCTGGAAAGAAGTGGATGTTGCTCCTTGTTTGTCAGGAACCCCAAACTCCCGTGTCAAATGCTTTTATTCCCGAGGTTTTTAGTCAGACTGGTTCCAGGAGTGGTTATCCCCTATTGTCTCCCATCCCGGTCATGTTTCTTCAGTTTTATTGCTGCTTATCAGAGTTGCTGGGATTTACAGTCCAGCTGCATTAGAGTTGGTTGTGGCTGTAAAAACATCATTAAAAGTCCGATGTTGGCTGGCATCCACGTTCTGCAGGATGTGTGTTTGGAGACTTACCATCTGCTGGCATCACTGTGCTAATGTCTTGCCTTCTCTGGAAGTTTCTACCTAAAGAGATTAGCATCTCCTGATATTCTTGCTGGTTTCCCTTCTCCAGGAACAGCAGAAGTTTTGGGACCTAAATCTGCCTTGTTTTCCCTGTGACTTTTGCTGTTCCTGCTGGGAAGGGGTGTGTGTCTCTGTCCATCCCAGGCTGTAGTGGCAGGTGCTCAATCCTCCTTCCTCCCTTGCCATAGCTCTGGTGCTGGAGTGTTTTGGTATGGGGAGGTATGCTGAGACCCAGTGCCCTCAGCAATTGATCCAGAAAGCTGCACCTGATTTCTCCAGCTGCTGCTTGCTTTCACCATTGAACAAATAAATAAGAGTCTCTCCTAACAAGATGGCAAGAAATTCCTGTGCCTGACTCAGTATTGACAGGAGCGGTGGGGCTGTGTTTTGGGCTGCTCTCGGCCAGGGGGAGGAATACGGGCTTTCTTGTTGTTTTGCCTCAAGTTCAATCCTGCTGTCTGAGCTTGGATCATGCCATGCAGAATACGCTGATATGTTTCAAGTGGCGTTTTGATGCCTCTGCCTGCTGCCTCTATTTAGCCATAGAAGGCAGATTCCCATCCTGTTGTTCCTAGCAAGCACCATGTTAAACATGGTGCTGACAGTCCAACTGTGGCCCACAGTAAGTCAGTGTGTATAAATAATCCAGAAAAGCTAAATAAGGTTTTAAAAATAAGCCTTAGCAGACAGAGCTGCTTTCATGTGGTGCCATGAAGACAGAGAGACCTTGGGTATGTCCACGTACCCAGATTCAGTCCTACTTCCAGTGGCTGCTGCTCTTTCCAAGCAGAATCCGTGCAGGTTTTCAGGTAGGTCTTCACCTTGCTTCACCAGTTTTTGGGACTGTTTTGAGTTAAAGTCTGTACTCGGTGACTGCAGGTTGGCTGGGTGTACAAAACAGAGACAGAGTCTGCACATGCAGCACTGAAATAGCGCATGTCCAGTCCACCCTGTTACAGTGCCTGTATGCAAAAGGCAAAAGTTAGCGTTTGTTGTTCCCCTCCCAATGTCACATTGAATATGGGAGGGAAAGAAGTAGAAGGCTAATTCAGTGTGTGTCTCATTATTGCGTTTATTAGCACTTGATGACTTGTCCTGCAGGCGTTCAGCCCACACACAGCGTTTCTTGGGCTTTTAATAGTTGTGCTAAAGCAAAATGTGCTCAAAATAGTAATAATTTAAAACATTTTGTCAGAGCCTGTGGCTGCGCTGTGTGTTTACAGGCAGTGTAACTGTGCCCTCGGTTGGGGTGCAGGGAGACCCCAGGCCACCCTGTCCCCGTTCCTGCCTGGCTGCTGGAGCAGAGGGGTTGTGGTGTGTGTGCCGGGACAGGCGTGGGTCACAGCTCACACCGCCCAGCTTCAGCCTGCGTAGGGTGGGGGTATGGCCGTTGTGTTGACGTGTTACCCAAGATTGCTGCACAGCAAAGGGTCCAGTGCAAGGTAAAATTCCTTGTTTGTAGGAAATGTGGTGCCTTCCCCTTGCCCAGCCCCCCCCCGCCATAACCCAGTATGTTGCTGGAGTGGTGTTAGTGCATTAAATGAACTGGGGTTACTGATCAGAGGTCAGTTTTTGACCTGACTTGCTGCTTGGCTCGGTAAGAGTTAAAACCACTGATCTATTTATTTATTTTTGAGTTAACATTTCTCTTGTGTGAATGACAACCCCTGTCCCATGTAAGACGGTCAGCTGAGCAATGATCCTCTCCGACTGGAGGGGATAGGGAAGGAGAGGGCTGCCCTGGCAGGCAGTGACCAGGATGGAAGGAGGCAGGATTTTTCTGGTTGTTTTTCCCTTCGTTTCTTCTCAGAGTCAGTATTGCTGCATGCAGAAAGCAGTATGTTATTACACTTTTGTTCTTCACATTTTATGTGCTGTGGTTTGGGTAATGCTAATATTAACGATGTTATGCTCACCCACAGTACTGATGGTGGCTCTCTTAATGTACATAAATCTCTGTAGAGAGGGAGGGAGTTGTATATATCTGTAAATAATTAGGATACTACCCTGTTTATTTAGCATGTGACCTCTCTTGCACACTTCATTTTCCTGCCTTCCATTTGGTCCTTTTTGTTTAATAGCTTTTCTCAGTCCTGACAGTTGCTTTATATTCAGACATAAATTCATCCCCCACAAAGCTTTTAAATCTAATTTCATTTCTTGCCTTACTACTTTGAGAATTTTTTTTTCTCTCTTCATGACAAAGAATGTACATTTTCCCTGTTTATTTAGAGAAGCTTGTTTTGTCTGCAGAACCCTAGTCAAATGATAAATTTCTTCAGTTTATAATCCTGTGAGGTTTATGTATTTAGTCTTTGTGAGCTGGAAGAAGATTGTCCAGTCTGTTTTAAGGTGTCCCACTTTCTGAGTATTGCATCTTATTAGAATGCAGTTGGCTGTTTGCGTGGCTTTTTTCTTCCCCTATATAGCTTGGGGGAAGAATATAATTTCATCATCTAGTAATAATGCTTGGCACTTTGTTTGCATCTTCAGAGAACTGTGCAGCTATGAATTTAATAATTCCTATAACACTCTGTAGCAGTTTCTCATTTTTATTTGCCCCATTTTACAGATGAGGAAAGTGAACACGAAGTCAAGTGACATTAGGCCATGAAAGGAGAAACAAATTCAGCTTGAATTCCTGGCTCCTTGACTTGTAATAGAAGAGCAACATACCTCTTGTTTAAATTGGGGGGGGGGGGAAGAGGGGAAGAAGCAAGAAAACAAAAGGAAGGGGAGAGCTCTTTATCTTTAATGGTCTTGCCTAACCTTGTTAACTATTTAGTTACATGTGTGGTGGTGTTTTTTTGGTGTTTGTTTTTAAATACGTTGTATAACTTACTGATGTGGTTGTCACTCCTCAGTGTGTGGTTGGAGGTATGTGATGAATTGTCTGGAGTTTACAAAGGT